GTTGTGGTCGGCTGCCACAGCGTCTTGCTGAGCCGAGTGGCCTCCCGTCGCTGGCCGCTGGGCACGGCCGTCGTGGTGAGCTTCTTCGTGTGCTGGGCCCCCTACCACCTGCTGGGGCTGGTGCTGGCCGCCGCCGCCCCCCACTCCGTACTTCTGGCCCGGGCTCTGCAGGCTGAGCCCTGGGTCGTGGGCCTGGCCCTTGCTCACAGCTGCCTCAACCCCTTTCTTTTTCTGTATTTTGGGCGGGCTCGACTCCGCCTGTCACTGCCGGCTGCGTGTCACTGGGCCCTGCGGGAGTCCCAGGACCAGGAGGACAGTGTGGTCGGCAAGACATCCACCATCCAGGAGTTGGTGTCCGAGATGGAGGTGTAGACAAGGAGGACACTGGCTGGCTGGCTTCGGGTAGATCTGGATCCAGGGGGCTCGATGATGTCTTCATTTCATTAATAAACATTGGTTATGTGCTGGCTAATTACAAGGCTCTGACAGGGCACTGGGGTACAGCAGTGACCAGGACAGATACAGGAGCTGATATTCTGCTTGAGGAAAACGAACAAGAAGGAAACAAAGGAATACAGACTAAGTCAAGGGTGATAAATGCTACAATACCTAAAGGGGACAGAGAGGCTTGGGTAGGACAGAATAAGTCAGCCTGGCAAGACCCTCAGATAAGGTGAAACTTGAGCCAAATCCTGAAGAAGAAAGGGAGGAGTCATGTTTACATCTGGGGCAAAGTTGTTCCAAACAGCAGACTAGCATGTGCAAAGGCCCTGGGACAGACTAGGTGTAGCCCTGGCATAGAGCTCTTGCCTAGCCTGTCCCCTGAAACACTGGAGACAAACTTTTATACTCAAACATTGTATGTTGTTTATATGAAACTTAACTTTACTGAGCATTCCGTGTGTTTTTTTTTTCCTAAACTAGGCAACCCAAATTTGAGAAAAGTTATGTTCATTTGCCTTAAATTTCAATAAGAGCCTGTGCTTGCCGGGGGAGATTACATTATGGTGGGGAAGGATGAGGAGCCCAGCAAGGAGGCTACTGCAAAGACCGAGGAGTTAAGCATGACTTGGACAAGGCTTACAGAGCAGAGGAGACGGGAGGCTGATGGAATGAAGGGCATGTCCGAGCCCCTGCACCAGTCCACACACTTATGCTCTGGCTCTCAGAGCCCTAGCAGACAGAGCGGTGGCCCCCAGTGACGTCTACATCATAGCCCCCCGAACTTGTGACCATGAACCTTACCTGCCCGGGGGACTTCACGGATGTTCCTAAGTTAGGGGTTCGGAGATGGTGCAGTGGTCCTCGGTGCTCCAGGTGGCCCAGTGTGAGCACAGTGGTCCTTGGAAGGGAGGGGCCGGAGGTCAGGGTCAGCGGCAGAAGTGATCGGCGTGACATGAAGGGGCCACCAGAGAGGAGGCCAGGTGGTAGATTCTCCACAGAAGCCTCCGGGAGGGCCCCAGCCCTGCTGTGCCTGGACTTCAGACGTGAGATCTTGGACATGTTAGGAGAACATGTTGTAATGTTTGCTTTGGATTTTCTTGAGACAAGTTCCCGCTCTGTGGTTCAGACTGATTTGGAACTCACTGTGTGGCCCAGGCTGGCCTCGAACTCACAGCGATCCTCCTGCCTCAGCCTCCCGAGTGCTGGGATTACAGGCGTGCACCACCTTGCCTGACTCTATTAGTCAAGTTTGTTACTATCACAACATATTTGGCACAGGCTACCAATGAAAAAAGAGGTTTGTTTGGCCCGTGGTGTAGGAGGCAGGAAGTCCAAACGGCACAGGGCAGATTTGGTGAGGGTCCTGTGGCCAACCCACCCCAGGAGCGAGCCGCGCCCAGCATCACAGGAGCTGGCTCATTACATTCCAGTCCAGAGAGCTGGGTGAGGCCAGGCTCCCGCTTTATCACAAACAGCCAATGAGAACTGAGGACCTGCCCCCAAAGACCTAAAGACCTCTCACTTGTCTCCACCTGTTAAAGGGCCCACAGCTCCTCCCACTAGCATAACCCCAGGGCTAAGCTCCAATTGCGTGAACTTTGGGCCACAGGACACCATAAAACCATACCCAGATCATCAGAAGATGGTTCTCACAGCAAACCAGAGATCGGGTGCAATGCTTCACCCACCCAGGGGATCTTTTCTGTCCCAGGATCGCAGCAGGAAAGTGGAAAGCTGGGATTTGATCCTAGTTTTACTTGGCTCCAACGCTTATGCCCTTCACTACCACAATTTTCCGTTAAGGCCTCACTCAAGTGACGCCTCTTCCAGGGAACCCTCCCCGACTTCCGCCCCTCCCGGGGAGAGGGCCCTGCCTTTCTCTGACTCACAGGTTTCCAGTTCAACCAGGGTGACACCTGGATCTCTTTGTCTCTCCTCCTCCCATCCTATGAATGAGAACTGAATTTGCATTGTTTGCCTGCAGCTGTTTAGCTACGTGAAAAGCATGAACGCCCCACATTAATCCGCTGAGAGTCAGGCCAGCCTCCCCAGGGCTCCCACCGGGGGCGGATGACCATGACCGTGTAGCCTGCTGTGGCTATCCATCCTCCTGCTTTCCCGACTCTTGGGCCCACACTGTGTCCCATGTGACTGTGCGCCCGCGGTTTCCTCTTCCTAGAATGCTAACCCTTCAGGTGTCCCCAGGAGTCACACTTTTTTTTTTAGCTCTCTGCTCAACACCCACCCCCACAATACTGATGATGGGGTGCATGCAAGGAGCTACATTTCTATCTCTTTAAAAACTTTTAGATTCTGAGACAGTCTCGCTACGTTGCCCGGGTTGGGCTCCAAATTGGGATCCTCCTGCCTCAGCCTTCCCAGAGTGCTCGGTTTACAGGCTTTAAATTTGGCGTATCTAGGACTACAGAGGACTTGCTTTTCTCATTCACGTAGTCAATCAATAAGCACTTGCTGACCATCTGCTCTTCCTCCGGCTGCGTAGGGGTTGGGAACCCAAGACCACCAACACAGAAGTGGCCCGGCTTTTGGCGCTGGGGATTGAGTTTGACTGGGTGTCGCTGGTTTAATAATACCCGCCTTCTCCCGCTGGGTTAAAACCCCGAGGTCGAGGTCGTGAGATCCTGGGGGCTGTGCTGGTGGTTGAGCACTGGGCAGGTCAGACGCTATACGGAGTCCTTACAGCAATGCCTGCGCGGACCCCTAGGGGCGCAGTCGCCTGCTGCGGGCCCTAAGCGAGGAGGGGTAGGAGGGGCTGTGCACAGGCGCGCAGAGGGCCTTGAGCGGCCTGCCGCTCCCCACT